TCATCTTTCGATAGAGAAATCACAGAAATGCTGTTTCCTTATATAATAAAATTATTCTCCCTTACTTTATTTATCGAATTTACATGAAAAAATATATATATATATCTTCTACATATTGTTTTCATTAATGGAAGACACATCTGTCACTTTTGTACCAAAAGGGGGAAATCAAACTTCCTTTCACAAGAGTTTATCTCTAATCTTAACAAACATCTGGATATCTAACCCATCTGTACATCCTGTTAGCGGACATAAATTCATGGTTTCTATTGGACGAAATTTTCGATAAAAGGGACAATTTCCCAATTCAGGGCATTCTCAAAAATTTGTCTCATGTTCACAAGCAAGAGTTCAGCTCCTTCACTCATCATCCTCCTCCTCGACCCTCATCCATCATAGAACTTCACCATCATGTACCAATTTAGAAGACAACGATCAAGCTCATCAGTTGAGGTAGTATGTTTAAATGATGTAAACTCTCTCTTGCGCGATCAGAATAGTGAGTTAGAATCTCCTTGTGTATCTGTAGGTTTATTTTATTTTGTTCTCATTAAGTTTTTGTTTTGTTTTGTTAAATAGTCTTGTTATTGGTCTCAATTCTCAGCCAAAGTCTTATCACAGATCTAAGATCCATCCCTCTTGAAAAATTATATAAATTTATTCATTAGCATGTCTAATGCTCTAATTAGGCTGATGTCAGGAAAAACTGACAGGAAGATCATACAAACTTCCTGTTCCCCAAATTAAATATTACTAAAAGCCCATTCTAGTGACCCTGAAGACAGATCTTTCCAATCTAAAGCTGAAAACAAGTGAGAAACAATCTTCCGTCCAGATTCCCACAAAACCATTTCTTTACCAAATTTGCTGTGTGTTTTGGGTTGTTGCCCTGTTGGAAGATCCATTCCCTTGGTATTGAATGACATGCATGAGAAAGCATTTGATTCTGCAATATATTCAGATAAACTTTTTGATTCATTATTCTATTAATTCTATGAATTGGACCAATTTCCTTTGCATAAAAACATCCCTATACTATTATGCAGCCACCATCATGCTTTTTTGTAGAAATTGTGTATTTTGGGTCATATTTCATGTTCACTGGTTGTCTGGCATATCATATACCATCACTAGAGAAGACAATGAATTTAGATTCATAACTCCATAACACGTTGGACCATTTTTGTTTGGTACAAGTGATGTGTTCATGTGCAAACTCTAATCTCAACTTTTTGTTTTTTTTGCAGAGATGAGTGGTTTCTTTGCTGGTCATCTCCCATGTAATCCAAAACTAGTCAAACGGCTTTGTACAGTCCTTAAGCTTATATCTGAGTTACCCACTTCACGTTTAATATGTGAAGCAGTCAAACAAGAGTTGGCTGCACTCATACACCTGATCAAACAATCCAACTGTGATGTTATTTTTTGTGGTCTACCTGACTTTTTGGCAGAAACAATGGTCCCGTATATTTGAAAATGCTTCACCACTTTTGTGACAACAGTTTTATGCACATTAAAGATTTTACCAATTTCAGTAAAGGTCTTTTTTACCTTCAAATGCATATCTACCATTCTTTGTTTGATATTATTTGATAATTGTATTCCTCAAGGCACTTTGTTATATTTCTTATAAAATCAGTTAATATATATCACTCTTCATCCAAATGATTATGACTGTATTCTGTTTCATACAACAGTGCAAACTAATTGGCATACTTCCTTTAGTAGCTGTACTTTTGTCACAATGTAAAATATAAAAACTTTCTTTTTCTTTTGTAAATCAGATTTAAAATAAAATCTGTTTGATTCAATTGAGTATTTTGTTTCTTTTTTTGCACTCTTTTCAACTATCACAATATTAATTATGTAGTAGGTGGTAAACAAAATAAAGCTTGCATTTTTTAAAAATATGTCAAGGGTAGCTCTACTTTTGGCCATTTCTGTATGTTACTTGGCTGAAGAGGGCTTTTTAACAGGCCGAAATGCATCCCAGAAAATTTTTCATTGATTAAATAAAAAATCAAGCAGGTGCATTATGAATCTGTAACTATAACAGAAAAGCCAATGAGGTTCATAGTTATTTATCGACAATACAGATCAGAAGCTTATATTGGAGAATATTCTAACAATATCATACATCAACCTTTTTGTTTTACAGTACCAGTTTAATGATTTGACTAATAATTCCAAAATTTAAAAATCATCATAAGAATTTTCAATATTCGAATTTTAATGAAACAGAATAAGAATAAGGTGACTGAGAGATAGAATTGAAGAACAACTGTAAAACAAATCAAAAATGTTAGTCAAAACGTTAAACTGGTGCTGGAGAATGAAAATATTGGCATATGATATTATCATACAATACCACATTTATTTCTTGTTTTTTTGGCAAGTTTCCATTCTGAACTGACTTTAATATTTTTTCATCTTTTTATCTTATTAATCAAAATCATCCAAAGTGATTCTAACTACAAAAGGAAATATTCAAATACAAAGATTGAAAACTATTCGACTGCAGAAGTTCTCATTGTTCTGAGAAACTTGTTACAGGTATTTGAACATATCTCAGATATACTATCCTTATGAGCCCATATGATAGCAAACAAGCCAATGCAAGTACTAAAAAATAGCATCTTGTTCTATAATGAAAATTTTCATCACAATCCAGTAATACAGAGTTATTCTGTGATATGACTTCTGATGTGAGAATTTGAGGTTAATTAAAGCAATAAGCGATTAATTTGGGAAGTGCCCCACCACCTTGTATTTCCATCATACACGGATATGAAAAATAAACAGCCAATCGAATAACCTTATGAATCAACAATCATCACGATGTTTGAACTTGTTGAAGAAACTTTGTCCAAACATCCAGTTATTAATGAGGAAAACTATCAAAAATGATTACCAAATATGGAAATAAAAAGCGCAGAATCGGCCAGGTTGTCGATGTGCCATCAGGATATTAATATTTTTTACATCAAGATAATTACATCCCAATACAACAACATGACCATTGACTGCCAATCAGATGTTCTCTTTATATTTTAAATTATTACATTTCATCACCTGTTCTATTCCGATATCCATTTCTGAATATGTCTTTTAACTCGATAATGATTGCTAAAGGCAATTGAAAACGTTTGTTTTTCTCCATCATACTGTGTGTTCACGAGCTGGATTTTTGGTTGTGTAAGTGAGATTTATTTACCCAGTAATAGATGATAATTGTTGACAAACACAATATACTGTATATTAGATATATAGTTCAATAGATATTAGATATATAGTTCAATAGATTTATATATATAGCATTGTGTGATGCCCTCTAACTTATAGTTACAATTTTTTACTGCAGTAGACTTTTGTCATTAGTGTTAGCAGACCAATGAAGACCATACGGAAAAGCATTTTAGCATTATTTTTTTGTATTTCATTTCTACAAATTACTACTAAGTGTAGAAAGATTTGAAAGAGCATTACTATGGCCTATGGTATTCTCACCTAAATTCACAATCAGGCCAAAACTTCTATGGTGGGTCAGTCCTGCCCCAAACTACCTCATACCTAACTTCAGCTTCAAACTTGCACATGGTGAAACAGAAAATTCAGAAACTTTCTGTAATTTTTCCTAAATATCTCAGAAAAGCTTTTGCCAATTTTGATCAAATAAAAACTACTTGATACAACTATGTAATTTGATACTATATACATTATTTTTTTTTACAGATTTTTACATGCACATTTACTATGTGAAACAACCAAAACAAGAATTATTTGAATTTTTGTATCCTTTAACAGAGCTTGCTACAAACTGAAAAATATACTGTCCGAGAGTACAGTGTTTGATTTATATGTCTTCAAAGTTTCATTAATTTATCTTGATGGTAAGATACCAAAAAAATTTAACAAAAAGTATATATTCAGTTTTCCAAATGATATAATGGCATTCCCACTGGAACTCCATACCATTTAAATCTGCTGTGTCATTCAGATCAAATATCCTACAGGAAACTGAACATATATTTTATTGTTAATTTTTTTGATATCTCACCATCAAAATAAATTAATGAAACTTTGAAGACAAATAGATCAAACATTGTACTCTTGGACAGTATATTTTTCAGTTTGTAGCAAGCTCTGTTAGGGGATACAAAAATTTGAATAATTCTTGTTTTGGTTTGTTTCACAGAGTAAATGTGCATGTAAAAATCTGTAAAAAAAAAAATAATGTATATAGTATCAAATTACATAGTTGTATCAAGTAGTTTTTATTTGATCAAAATTGGCAAAGGCTTTTCTGAGATATTTAGGAAAAATTACAGAAAATTTCTGAATTTTCTGTTTCACCATGTGCGAGTTTGAAGCTGAAATTAGTTTGGGGCAGGACTGACCCACCAAAGAAGTTTTGGCCTGATTGTGAATCTAGTTGAGAATATCATAGGCCATAGTAATGTCCTTTTTCCTGTGAACAATGAGTTAGTAAGCTTTTCTATTTATCAACAAATTCAGAGATATATTTACCAAATTTTATGACTCTACAAATGTGTGTTTGTGCAGTATTTGTAGATGACTCCACAAATACAGCACAAATACACAAAGCCCAGCTAGCAATTTTGTAACAATTTTCCAAGAGATGCTGCAATTTCAAAAGGTTAATTTCAAAATGCTTGACAATGCTGATGATAATCATTATACTTAGGAATTTTACATATGTGTCTGAAAGTAAAATATTGCTTTTATGCTTAATTCCAGTTAAGTTACATTTTTCGTAAACAAAATCTCTCCTGCTTCAATATTGACAGGTTTCCAGCTTATAATAAAATTAAACTTATAGCTTAAAATTTAGTTTATAGTAAAATTTTAAGATAGGTTTTACTGTATTATTTATATTTAAAAATTTTTTCAAGATTTTCTACATTTAATCATTATTTTTACTAATTTTAAGAAATTTATTTACTTGATAAAACTTTTAATTAACATTTTATTTTTAATACCTCTTTTGATGTACTAGCAATTGCAATACTTCCATCAGGATTGTATTTAACAGGAGCACCACCTTCGTGAATCAATGTTCCATATCCTGTAGGTGTAAAAAATGCAGGAACACCAGCTCCTCCGGCACGTATTCTTTCAGCTAATGTCCCCTAAATAAAAATATAAGAATAATAAAAATATATAATCTATTTACAAATGATAATAACTATTCACTACTTAAAAACTGGATTTAATTACTGTAAAAATAATGAAATGATACCAGTAATATCCAGAAATTTACTAAATAATAATAAAAATGTTTTTTACTGCTATTTTAACCTGATTACGATAACTTAAAAATCGTTAAAAACATTTATTTTTATTATTATTTAGTAAATTGCTGGATATTACTGGTATCATTTCATTATCTATTTAGAAATATTAAAATAAACTACTTCATAATAATGAATGAAATAAATATATACAATAAAATAAAAGATAAAAATTCAGAAATTTTGGAAAAAAAGAAACTATAGCTAAAGAATTTAAACATATATCATATATTTCATTCAAATGATGATAAAAATATACAGACTACAAAAAAAAAACAGAATGGAAAATACTGGAAATAGGGATAATATAAACACAATCTAAAAGAGTAATTTGTCTTCTCATAAAATAATGACTGCACTATATTCAGAAAAAACAAATAATAAACAGTCCTAGGTGCTGAAAGCATCATTTATTTATGCAGAAATGCTTTTAAATACATAGTTCATCCTTATTATACAAATACCATAATGTATGAAGGAAAGTGCACATAGACTATAATATCCAACAAGACAAGTTTGAGAGTCAATTGCTTAACTATTATATATTAACTACAATAATAATAAAGATACAGGAGTTTAACTGAACTGTATTGAAACAAAATAAAATGCAGTAGCCAAAAGAATCAACAGTAAAAATTAATTGCTGGGCCTCAAATAGCTGCCTCGAATAAGCACTGGGGATTTTGACCTGTGTAAACAAATAAGCACCCACACACTAATTTGAAGAAATACAGTAAATTAAAAAAAGAATGCTTTAAATTATAATGTTATGAAAATGTGGTTCAAAAAATTTATATTCTGTTTATGCTAATCATTTTAATATTTTCTTTATTCATAATTTTCTGAAAATAACCTTTGGATTATTTGTGTTTAAAAGTCAATTTGAAAGCAAGTACTGGTTTTGCAATAATATAGGTTATCCTCTAATTTTAAATTGCAATTATAAACTCATCCAGCAACAACTTTTCCTCTGTCCAAACTTAGCAAAAAAGCTGAGGGACTTCATCAGGGTGCAACAAAGTCTATCCAGCAGAGATATGCATACTCACAAATGTATGCAGAGAAAGTCTCCTGAATGGATCTACAATAGTGACAAGAGGCTGAGAAGCAAAGTTACAGTCAGCACAGATTTTTATAAAAGTGATCAAAACCAGTCACAATGCAGATCAAAAAGTAAACATAATTCCTGTCAAAAGACAGGAAATCTTTACTTCATCATCTTTACTCTGTGATTGTAATGTTCTGACCACTAAATTTATTGACTGCAATTGTGATGTGATCATTTGTTGATTTGGAAGATGTTTCTGGAAGTGTCCTAAAATAGTTCAATAAGAGAAAGAATGAAAGTAGTGAAGATAAAGGAGGTCAATATCATAACAAAGAAGAAAAGCCCTTGCCTTTATCCACAGGAAAGTTTATGATGTGCTGGAAAAAAATAATCTCTTGCTATGCAACTACTAGCTGTCTTAATGTAATAAGTTCTTATGCCAATATATCAAGCAAAGAAGTTTGTAGCTGATGAAACTTTTAAAAAAACAAAATTCTAAAGCAATCCAGGATTGATGAGTGTTTGAAAAAATTGAATTTGTTGCATTGTCTTTCTTCTCTGAGTTTTTGTTTAGAATACTGTATATTCAATTGTTTTTATTTCTTTTTGTATTTCATATTAAATTTCATATAGTACAACAACACTTCCAAACCTAAAATCCAGTGAGAAAAATAAAAACATTTATTGAAGAACAAATGTCTTCAATCTTTATAAACAGCATCTTCACGTTCTACTGGTAGAATGCAAATCAAACATAAAAGTAATTTATATAACATTTATTATTATGAATGTTACATGGGCAGGAATGCAGTAATACATTACAAAGTAAAAAATAAAAATAAAAACGATTACAAATGAAAACAACACATAAAAAGGCTAACTGCTTATAAATAACAAAATGTCAGAATAAACTATATCCCAAAACAACTGGAGTGCTGATATATAATGATAAGAGATGAACATAATATATATACTAAGTTAGAACTGTTTACAAAACATTACTTATTTGCTAAATATGCTTGAGTACTCCCTCCATACATGCAACATAGGAGCCGTGTCCCTGCTGTTGATAGCTGTTCCCCTAGAGATAGCCTTGCATATCTCCAGTTTCCAAGTATTTTAGACATGATGGTAATGTATTTTGATGTAGAAGGTGAGCTCTATCAAAGTTAATCTCTAAATCTGCATCCGATGCATAATTGGCCAAGGCCGTACCTCCCAATTTCCTAGTAATTGAGTCATGGTGTTCCTTGACCCTAGTCATAGGGAATTTAAATGTAGTGCCAATGTATTCGTAGTAATACTCTATGGTCGTGCAATGAAATTGGTTACACTCCTGGAAGATACTTTTCATTAGGCAGATCCTTATCGTTTCTAAGTAATGAAAACACAGTTGGAGTTCTGTACGCAATTCAAATGTCAGAATGCTGTCCGATCTCCTTGAGGATTCCACTTAAATGCTGGTTATAGGTGACCATACAAAAGGGTTTGATCTTCTTGGAGGTTGTTACTGTGTGCCCCCAAAAACAATGTATCAAAGTCTTAATCAGTTTGTGTCCATATCCAAGCTCTTTGGCAATTCGGTAAATGCACTGCAGCTCCCTTTGTCTAAGAATATTGTTAGAACAGTGGGTAACAATATGAATGCTCTGTGAACTAATACTACATTTGCACATAATCCATGACTCACTTTGATCTCGATTGTAACTGTCACCAGTCGAATGTCAAGTCGTTCACACAGGCAGTCCTCTTGAGAAGAACTCAGCTATTGCATGCAATGATAAAACTGACATAACTACTCAATAAGTCACAAACACCAACAAAAAAAAAAAAAAAAAATGGAAGTTTTGATTAGAAATAAATACCTTTTCTTGTCATATATCCAATAATAGCCTGATCTCATCGTCTCTCCAAATATCTTTTTTATTTCTCTGTTGATAGTCTGACACATGTTCCGCAACCATCTTGTTTCTTCTTGCACACATGGGATTGTGGGAACTCTCTTTATGACTGGATCTAGTTTCAAAAACTCTCTTGTGTTGATCGCAATTGAACCTCATTTCAGTTGAGATTGATGTGGTAGAGCAAGGTTGCACCATGGCACAGTCACCAATCTTATCACAATCTAGATTGAAATGCTCAGTGCAAATGGGGTATAAGGCCCTGACTTGTATGTTGAAGGATCGTGCGAGCATGGTGGTATGAAGAATGGATTGTATGTAGCCTTACAAAAATATCTGTAGTGAGAATGTTGTTATTCAAAGTGATGGTGAGATCCAAAAAACGCACTTGCTGGTCACCACTTCGCTCCAGGCATAGTGTTAGACTGTATGGGTTGTTATTGATGGCCTCCAGGAAGTTGTGGAAGAGTGGTTCCCCACTAGACCAAATAATCAAAATGTCATTGTCATACTGGGAACACAGCAAGATGTTCTCAAAGGATGGTAGCACACACTGTTTCAGTTGTCTAACCACCAGATCACACAAAGTGTCCGAGATAGAATTCCCCATCGGTACTCCCTAGATTGGAGATAAACAGCATCTTCAAAAGTAAAGAATGAAGAATGACAGATTAAGTGTGATAACTCCAAGATAGACATGTGGTACTTGTGAGACTGCTCAATATCTGCAAAAAGAAAATCTCATAGCTCACCACAAAAGCATAGTCCAATCCTGATTGATGGATACATAGACTTGAAGTCAAACACTGTAAAGAACTCCTATGATCCCAGAGTAAGAGTGCACAGTCTCTGGAGAAACATGTCAGGGCCATTAACCACAAAAGGAAAGGTTAAGAGGTGATCATAGATAAAACGGTTGAGAATCCTCTTGTAGATGACGGGTGAGGCTGTCATATCCACTACAAGTCTCATCTGTGTGCCTTCCTTGTGCACTTTAGCAAACACAAAGATGCGAGGAGATGCAGGAGCCAAAACAGAGGCTTTTTGCATATGAATGACTCCAGCCAGAGATGTGTTAACAAAATATAGGACCCTAGAGTGTAGCCTATGAGCAAAATCCTGTGGGGCGGATGTAGAGATTCACTTTGATAGAGCTTACCTTCTACGTTACCTTCTTACATTACCATATTTTAGACACATTACCATAGTATCTAAAATATTTGAAGACTCTGGAGATATGCAGGATTATCACTAGAGGAACAGCTATCAACAGCAGGGACACGGCTCCTATGTTGCATGTATGGAGGGAGTACTCGAGCACATTTAGCAAATAAGTAATGTTTTGTAAATAGTTCTGACTTAGTATATATATTATGTTCATCTCTTATCATTATATATTAGTACTCCAGTTGTTTTGGGGTATAGCTTATTCTGACATTTTGTTATTTATAAGAAGTTAACCTTTTTATGTGTGTTGTTTTCATTTGTAATCGTTTTTATTTTTATTTTTTACTTTGTAATGTATTACTGTGTTCCTGCCCATGCAACATTTGCAATAACAAATGCTATATAAATTACTTTTATGTTTGATTTGCATTTGCATTCTACCAGTAGAACCTGAAGATGGCCTTTGTAAAGGTTGAAAACATTTGTTCTTCAATAAATGTTTTTATTTTTCTCACTTGATTTTACATTTGAAAGTGTTGTCGTATTATATACATCCAGTCTAGGATAGGGTTTCTATATAAATTTCATATAATCAAATCTTTTGCTTATTTCTACTTAAGTTATTTCATTCAAGAACACGTACATCCCTCTTTCTGCATAAGATGACCACTTTGAGCTGGTCTCTTTGGTAGTCACATTAGCAGGTTTCACTGTATTTATATTTTTGTACTTAATAGATAATAAAAAAGATAATAGATAATTAGGAATAACGTTTTAATTAGAAGGGAAAAGTTGAATTAAAAATATTTAAAAGTTATAAATAATAATTATGTTTATCTATTTTGTTATCACATTCTGAATCTACAGTAAGTAATACTGTTTAAAAATTTTCAATTTCAAGATGATTTTAAAAAAGTTATTATCTTCAATGCCTCATAAAAATATACACTATCTGGCCAAAAGTATCCGGACACCCAGTAGTACGGACTCAGAGAATCCTGAGGCATATATTAATATAATGTTGGTCCTCCTTTTGCATCGATGACAGCCTGTACATGTCTGGGGAGACTTTCCACTAGTTTTTGATAGGTGGCCATTGGAATTGACTTCCAGCGTCCATCACGGCTGTAGTGAGTGCTGGCAGTGAGGATGGTCGATGTGGCTGACTACGTAATCTGTGTCCTAATTCGTCCCAAAAGTGTTCTATGGGATTTAGATCGGGGATCTGAGAAGGCCAGTCCAGTTTTTGAACACCCATTTCATCAAACCATGCCTGCACAAGTCTCGATGTGTGAATAGAGCAGTTATCCTGCTGGAAGAGAAATGGGCCTTCCCCGAAATATTTCCATAGAGTTGGGAGAGCAGCATTGTCCAGAATGTCCACATACATCTTAGAATTCATGTTTCCAACCACAGGAACTAAGGGACCTGGGCCAAACCATGAAAAGCACCTCCACACCATGATGCTGCCACCACCAAACTTTACAGTCAGCACAATACAGTCACGTAAAAAGTGCTCACCAAGCATCCGCCAAACCCAGACACGTTCATCGGACTGCCAGATTGTAAAGCGAGATTCATCACTCCAAAGAACACTTTTCTATACGTCCACAGTCCAATGATGGTGAGCTTTGCACCATTGCAATCGACGCTTCGCATTCTGGGGAGTGATGTTCGGCTTGTGAGCGGCTGCACGACCATGGAATCCCAAGTTTTTTAACTCTCAACGAACAGTCTTGGTGCTAATACTAATGCCTAATGACCTTTGGAACTCCTGAGTGATTTCAACCAACGATAACGTGTGACTTTGTTTCACTATCCTTTTCAGGGTTCTACGGCTGCGTTCACTCATTTTCTTTGGCCTGCCACATCGTTTTTTTCCACTTTCACTGCCTTGACGTTTTCTCTTCACAATTACATCACTCACAGTGGATTTTTACTTCTTTATAATGTCTGAAGTTTCACGAACTGATTTCCCACAAAGGTGGCATCCCACTATAATGCCACGATCAAAGTCACTAAGCTCTTTTGACTTACTCATTGTCTCACAAATGCATAAATATGACCTCACAAAACACTACCAACACTTTCATATGTTTCAGTTATGCATCACCTGCCAGATCCACTTCTTTAGGCGTGTCCGGATACTTTTGGCCAGATAGTGTATTATAAATGGATAATTTATAAATTTATGCATTTTAATGTTCTTTTTTATAATTGATCAACTAAGTTTAAAATTTGTAAAAATAATTTATGATTTAATACCAAATTGTACTTATATATTTCTTACCTGAGGAACAAATTCTAATTCCAATTCTCCAGATAAATATTGCTTTTCAAATTCTTCATTTTCCCCCACATAAGAAGAAATCATTCTTTTAATCTATTGTAAAATAAAATTAGAATTTCAATACAAATATATTCTCAAATAAAATAATTAATAAACATAAGTTAGAGAAATCTAGAACACACAGAAATAGAATGCACTGTTTAGTCTTGAAATTTTATAACTGAACAATGGGACACACATTGAGCAACATTCCTTGCATCAGTAAACACTGTAGAATTAAGGAATGTTGGCATACAAATATGAAAGAATATGAAAGTATGTCCCTCGCAGAATGAATAGATGAATTTTTGTTGTGGTGTTTTTGCTGTTTTGTTTTGTGTATTTTCCTGTAAAACATCCCTGGCAGAAGTTTTCAAAATAAAATTATTTTCTTCATATTTTGCATAGTCTGTATACAAATTCTGGTGTCAACATGCTTATTGGTTACTGTTACAGTGTGCTCTGAATAGAAAAACTTTAATTATGGCCATCCTGTACATGAAATACTAAAGGACACCACTAAGCAACTCTGCACTGGGTTTCTGGTTTAGGGAAAAATCATCTAGATATGTTTATCTTAAGCATCACTAAAGATTGCTGTCTAGAAGTAAGCAAAGTAAAAAAAAATAGTACTATTGAAAAGTAAAACAAAACAGTTGCTGACTATATGCACTTTGTACAGTATTTGTAAGAAAAAATTCATGCAATTTAGAGATTGTCAAATGATGATTACATAGTAACACTTATAATTTTAAGTTATATATAAGGCCAAATTTATAAGCATTTAAAATCACAATACAGTCAACCCCCCCTATAACATGGTAGATACGTTACGTTCTTTATGAAATTGATGTTTTACAAGTCCTTGAATACACGAGCTAATCACAGCCTGGCACGTATGCAGTTTACAGACTACGGCTGTTTGAAAGGTTTTCTTCCATAAAATTAACTGATTCTAGACTCGACTCAACATTTCCAAAATACGTATAATTTTTTGGGAATAATCCATATAAACTATGCTATAAACGAAAAACTGTAGGATTACTTACTGAGTGTGCACTGTTCAACGATGCCATTGCTTAAGCTTGTTTTCGTCGTGGAGCTTGTCATCGAATGGTGCGCGCATGCTTCCTGATAAATTATTTTTTTTGCAAAAAATTCACTGAACTTTGGAGACATCATTAATATAAATATAATTTTTATGGACATTAAATAATAAATGGTTTTTAGTAGATCCGCTGCTCGTTTAAACTCAACAGTTTGTACAATATCCGCTATTGGTCTAGATTCGACCAATCCTGTCGTGACATGAGTTGGCGATGATGTTTTACCGAATTATACAAGTTTTTTTAGCGCGTTTGTTCAAATACTGTTGCAATTTTTTCGCCATGATATAGGAATCCAAACTATAGTAGAGCTACAGTAGAGCGTCGTTTATCCGAAAGTTAATTATCCGAAAGAATTCCAGTCGGCAAATTTAAATTTTCACCAGTGCTGTGGCGTTGCAATCTTTGGCTATGTCTTGGGCTACTCAAATATTTTACATTTTTGATACTAAATTAACTTCTGAAGTATAATTTTTTATTGTTTTTATATTTTTCAATATATTTATTTTTTTTGTACAAAATAAAAAAATAATTTTTAACGATACAATAGTCTTCGTTAGGCTTAACATCGACGAAAATTCAATGCAAAGCGACACGCAATGGAGAAAAATTTCAACATGGGATAGGTTAATATATTTTTTCGTACATAATCAGTTATCCGAAATATCGATTTTCCGAACAACCCCAGTCCCCAATTGATTCAGATAAACGACGCTCTACTGTATATGAACCCGTGTTATAGGGGGGGTCAACTGTATATGCACATAAAAATGCTCATGTTAAAATGCCTGAAATATGCATTATGCACGTTAAAAGTGTCAGTAATATACAATAAAATTTATAGGTTAAAGTGCATACATATTTTATTTTTGTCTCTGAGCATAAACACATATTTTATATGCATTATCAGACAACCTTAATTTAATCCACTTAGACCAAATCATTGTTTATATCAAAGTTTTAACATCATAACATTTAAGGTAAAAAATATGCATGTGCAGGAGAAATGTGCATGTACAAATCTGGATCTTACTTACAAATCAACTTTTTAGTTGTGTATAATCAGAATTCAACTTCTACAACTGGATTGATGTAATGATAATTACACACCATAAAAACCTTAAATCACCAGTAAGAACTTTAATATACTTGAATTTCAGACTAAGATCATCTTCAGATCCTTTTGATATTCCAAAATTGGAATGTAATAAAGAACAATGACATATTACAAAAAGAACAGAAAACATTTGAAACAAATATATATAAAACTAGCTGTTACCCGCAACTTCGTCCGCGGAGGTTTTGCAAGCAAACCCCATTTACATTCAATATTTCAATAACCATAGTAATTGTCATATAACACCTACCGCTGAAGAAAATTGCCAAGAATCAAACAAACTATCTTCAATTTGATCAATTTTCTGGAACGTTTACAATCATTCTATAATCGAACCAATATGCAATAACAAATTTGAATTTAAAATGGATGGAACATTTTAAAAATCGAAATAGATAAAAATATTTATAACAGTGTCTGAAATGTTATCAATTTAATACATCTAAGTACTCAATAAAGACTAAACGTAGTTAAAAACAAAAAATCGTATCTAAAATAGTACAGTAGAAGCCATTTTTCCGGTTAAGCCTTAATGCTCTACCTCTCCCCCTGCGTGGGAATTTCAAAAAATCCCTTCTTAATGTGAATTCCCATGGCGTACTCTACTAAAACGCAGATAAAAACAAAAAATCGCATCTAAAATAGTACAGTAGAAGCCATTCTTCTGATTAAGCCTTAATCCTCTCTCTCTCCCCCCGCGGGGGAATTTCGAAAAATCCCTTCTTAGTGTGCGTTTCCATGACGTACCCTAACTGTGTACCAAATTTCACCTCTTTAGGTTAAGTGGTTTGCTCTGGGCGATGATGAATCAGTCAGTGAATCATTCAGTCAGTCAGGACAAGCAATTTTATATATTTAGATTTATAAACATTATTACAATGCACTTAAATTTAAAAATTATCCTTTAAAGTACAAGAGAAATAGTGTACACTTCAATAACATTGATAAGTAACAGATGTCAATTAGTGGTAACATGTTATGTCAGAGCTGAGTGTAGGCAATCATAAAAGGATTGCCAAACATATATGTTCTTTTCTTCTTTGAAGTTAACACACACTCCTATCATTTCATATTTGAAAATTTCAAGAGCTTCAAAGGTTCTAATGTGTTCTATTTGTTAGACTTTTCTGATGAGAGTGGCATTTTCAAGAACTCAATTTTGTAAAATTAAATTTGTAGTTTTACGAAATTGTAAAATTTAACACCCAAAAGTTTGATAAGAGAGCAAGAGAAGCTATCTCTGGTTGAGATAATTACATTTCTGTAGAGGTGGGTATATGAAATGAAGAAGGGAAAAATTTCCCCTTCAAATTACACCGTAGACACAATCTTTTGGTATGCTCTACTTGTGAATAAAAAGAAAGGTTCTAAATTTTTTCCTTATGAAAAAATTTATGTCCATTAAATCAGAATCTGTTAAATCAAAAACCTACTATATATTAGATAAAATTTAATATATCATATTACAGTCGACCCCCCTATAACACTGTTGATAATTCCGTTTTATATGAATTCCATGTTGTACGAGTCACTTAGATTTTACAAATACGTGTGCTGGAATGTGAACGGCTCACGTATTTGTAAGATTTAAGTGACTCATACAACATGGAATTCATATAAAATAGAATTATCAACAGTGTTATAGGGGGTCGACTGTATTACAGTTTAACAAATTCTGTTGATCTGATAGAATCTGTGACATTATTGTGTTTGCTTTCCTAGACTACAAGTTCAAATCATATATCATGTATGGATATGTCAGATTTTAATGGTAATTGTTCTTTGAAGGAAAAGTACTATGGTAATTGTTCAGAAATACTCTTTTAAATTAAATTACAATAATAATAATATACTTTGAATGAAATAAATAAACAGAAATACCTGTTTTGTCTGCAAAAGTAATCCCAAACCAAAATTATCGACACCTGCATTATTACTAACAGCAGTTAAATCTTTTATATTTGATTCAACTAATGCATTAATCAGATTTTCTGGTATTCCACATAATCCAAAGCCTGCAAATAATAATATAATTTGTAATCTATAGTAATTAACTTCAGAGTTCTGAAATTGATTAAATTAATCATCATTAAATTACACCTTATAATTCCATTAAACTATTTTAATTTGCAAACATTTTTGATCTTATTTAAAGGCCATCTTTAGGTGAAAATACTGTGAAATTCGTAGTTCATATACAGGTAACCCCCGTATAACACGGTAGTTACATTCCAAAAAATTGCCGTGTTATGCGAATCCGTGTTATACGAAACAAACAACTAATACGAAAAGGAGGGTTAGGTTCCAAAAATTAAAAAACATGCTAGTATATTTTCATAATTAAGATAGGTCGCGGGTCACTTGGCTTTTATAAAAAGGGGGTCGCCACCTGAAAAAAGTTGGGAACCATTGCTGTAGACAAAGGATGATTTTAAATTGTCCCGTTTTTGAGACAAATACATAAAGAAACGGCCAAGGCTAATGATTTCCGTGTGATATATCGATGCAATCCTACAGTTTTCAAGCTATTAAGAAACGATAAGAAGCATTATGACTGGAAATCGGCATCAGGAATCTATTCTATACCATTACATGATCAGCATTTTAATTCGGATCTTGTCTACGTAGGCGCAACAATGTGCAACTTGCAGCAACGTATCAAAGAGCATAAATATACGATTAATAAGAAACTTGACAACACCATGCTATCGGCTTACACAACACAACACGACATTCGAGTCCATTGCAATCGGGAGGAAATAATTAAACCTACGACAAATTTACATACAATGAAATATCTNAATCCGTGCTATAAAAGTACCGTGTTATACGGGGGATGGTACCAATTCTCGAACTGTGTTAGAGCGAATCCGTGCTATAGAAGTGCCGTGTTATACGAGGGTTACCTGTAATTTCATAAAAGAAATTAATCCTTTAAATTTTTGATAAATTCCTTTAACTAGAGGAAGTTGCACCTGCAGAAACAAAATTTGAGGTACATGAAAAAAGTATAAATCTTTCTATTTAATTATAAACATTCTCACGATCAAACTATACGTTTACAATTACGGGCAAAATTCGTCATATTGTTGTCATTCTATCGCCACCTTTAACCTCACACCTGCTAAAACAAATGGTCACCTGACGAATTTTCCCACCACAAAACGTATAAAAGTCCTCCTCCTTCTTCAATCAGGGGAGTCGCTAATCGAACGAACTACGACGAAGACGAACAATATCTTCCCCTTTGTCTACTTATGACCTTAATTGGAAGACCTTGCACCGCTTTTCAGACCCATTAAGGCAGAATTATCCGTCCAATTATCCGTAAGGGAGAGCTGTCCGATATTATCACAGAGGTATGAAATCTTCTCTCTCTCTCTCATCCGCGAAGTTGAAGGAGTTTTGTGTAAATTTGCTTTAGTTAGTTAGTTTAATAAACTGTTGTTTGGTTTTAAATGGTGTCGTTACTCGACTTAGTCAACGTCTTATCGTCGATCCCTCCGACTCTCCTCCACTCTCGTAATGCGTAACTGAACGTAACGCCATCCTTGACAAGAAAGTAGGGCACCGACCTGTGGCAGGCAAGGAGAGGAACTTCTTCCCTCCCTGGTGGCTCACAATACTATTATTATTTGAAACATTTAAAGTCTATTGAATGCAAAAATGAGAGTACTAGATGGCCTTTAAAATAAGACTAAAAATGTTTGTAATTAAATTAATTTTGTTGCAAACAAAAGTTTTCTTGTGAATTTTGAATGAGATTACTATTCAAAAATTTTAATTATTATTAAATGAGACAGAGCATTAGTGAAGCCTCTTTTATATGGCTTACAGAATTGTTTGTTCTCAAAATCTGTTTGATCGATTTTAATTAAACTTTACCATTTTCCATTCATTGCAATGAGGAATCCAAAAATGTAATAAAAAATGGAGATCCATGTCTTCATTTTTGAGATATAAGATGATAGCATGAGTGTGCACAACAAAGTGACATTGTGCGATATTCCATGGTTGCTAGTACATCTTCTATGGTCTTATAGAATTGAGTTCATTCTGAAAATTTAATGGACTGATTTTGATAAAACTTTGCTGTTTTCCTTTAATTGTGATAAGGAATCCAAAAATGTAATGAGGATCCATTTAATATAAAAGGTAGGAGTCCATCACTTCGTTTTCGATATACAGAGGTATTAAAGTGACAATGTCCTGCTCGCTGATGTAACTGAGCATGCCTAATGAAATTTAGGCCTAGGAGTCATAAATAAAAACAGCACTGTGTGTGCTTAATGAAAAATATGAACAAAAGAAAAAACAAAGCAATCAATGGCAATTACTTTGTTCTTGGATTGCCTTCCATGTCAGCAAGTGCAAGGATCATCTCTCTATACCAGGCCAGTTCAAGAATTGTGTCTCCTATGGCTGGCAGATTCAAGGATAGCCTCTTTTGTGGCAGCAAGTGCAAAGTACACCTGTCTGCGTCCATCAGGTATAAGGAATGCCTCTTCTGTGCCTAAAAATTACAGGAATCGTTTCTTTCTTTCCAACTCTGCCTCAATACTAAGTCGTGCAATGTCCTAGTTTTAAATAATATACATCATCTAGTTACAGTTTTATTAAACTTGTATTTTTAAACAAAATAAAATTATTTGTATACTATTATTTTAAAATAGTTTTTAATTCAATATAATACAGAAAAATGACTAATTGTCAGCATTAGAATGACTTTTATTAAACAGTCACTTTCTTCATTATACTGTATATATTGTGTATGTGTGAATAATACTGTAGGCTTCAGTACTGCATGTACAGTACAGTGCCACAGCAGTTAGGTTTATCCCATGGAATAGTATGGAAGATACAGATACTAGAGGAAGGTACTGTACATTGTTATCAGTAATGGGGCAATTAAATAAAAGAATTGAGAATTTTTCAGTAATCAGAATTGGTATTGGAATTGAGAGAAATTTATCATAATTTCCAATTCTTAAAATGTTTCTTTGATATTTAATAACAAAATTAAACTTTTAATTTCAGGTAATAATTAAAATTGTTTAAATTATGATTAACAATCAAGTGTTATTATCAGAGAAAGAAGTATACTACACAATATAATGGAGTTTTTTAATGTGATTTAAATGTTTTTCAGGACGACTTGTCCCATTCTCAGAATCTGAACAGAATGGAACATTGGAATCATCATCACATTCTATTAGCTCTTTTTTTTAATTTGAAATTCCACCTTTTCAACAGATATTTATATGTTGGAACTCATTTTAAAAAGATTTTTGAATATTTAAGTATGACACAGATGATTAAGAGCATCACAATGTGTGCAATAATTATTTAAATAAAGTAGTAGTAGTGCTGTTATGATAGTCTCAACATTTGATATTTACACATAGAATGTATTGTTGATTCTAATGTTCTGTTCTGTTCGGATTCTGGAGATGGAACCAATCATCCTGAAAAATCTTTAAATCATATTAAAGAACTGGACTCTTAATATTGTCTAGTACATTTATTTTTCTGATTTCATATGGAGTTCTCATTTATGCAAGTATTATTAATTAATTTATTTATTTATAATTATTAATGTTAATAAGAGATGGCGCCTAACACTTACCTCTAAAGCCAAATTGGTTACGTAATTCATTTAATAATTAGCCTTATACTAGCCCAATAGATTTTCGGCATTCAGTTGGTGTGTAGCTTTATTATATATCGGGTTTAGCGATGTTTGTAGTATTATTATATTCAAACATTTAATTTTGTTTGCTAAAATAAAGTTATTTCACATTGTCAATCCCTATTTGGGATTACATTTAGCATAAATTAAATTCTCCATTAATTACTATCGGCAATAATGACAATTAAAAGCAGACTAGTCTGCACAAACTTCTGTCAAAATTTTACTATTGAAAATGAATTTACTATGCTTAGCTTATTTAATAGCCTGGTTGAGGCTGAAGTTTTAAACGCAAAAATGTGTATGTGGGACATTCGGCGGCGCTTTCCTGTAAGCCTATAAGTTTGACAATGGCGTTTGGATAGTCAGTGGAATCATGCTCGACATTCCAAACTCCATTGTGAAACTTCTAGGCTTACAGAAAAGCAGCGCCAAACATCCGACGTACACGTTTTCACATTTAAAACTTCGGCCTCAACCTTGTTAATGTCTATATGTATATCCTTCAATGAATATCAAAATCCATGTATACTTGTTGTTAAGATTGAGGCTTATTCACAAATAATGTGACATTTGGCAGTAAAAACTTCTAGTATAGATGTTTTTTTATTGCTGCCAGTTTGTCAAAGATGAATTTTGGGCCGGGCCCCTCAATAAAAAACTTATAAAACAGTGAGTGGCTTTACTCTTTGAATGATTGTATCTGAATAGTGTGTCACATTATTTGTGAATAGGCCTGAATCTATATGTATATTTTGAATGATTAGACCAAACAAGAAATTAATGATGCAATTACTGTTAAGTTTTAAATAAAGTTAAGGTTTTACAATAAATCTGTTCAATATACTATTAAGTGTCATTGATTTCTAATGTAATAATTCAACTTAAAGCATCAGTTCCAACTTTGGATGATAATGGCTTCATTCTTTGGGAAAGGTATGAAAATTATAATTATTTCAGAGTAAAAAATAGCAACAGAATAAATTTACATCATTTGGCACATTTATGAAAGCCATTTGACATGTTTGAATGAAAATAACCTGGCAACATTATTTGGCTAGCATTATTATGTTGCTAGCTTTAAGACTATAATTTTGGAAAGGATTGGAATTGAAATCAGCATTGGTATAAGAATCATTACAAATTTTAGTATCATCCCATCACTAATTGTTATCTATGTAAGGTTAGCCACAACCAGCAATTGCTTACTGCTGACATGACATGGAAATCCAACTGACCTTTGCATTGACCTTTTTTTTTTATTAGAATAGAAATAAATGTATCATTGTCATAGAAAGTTCTGTGGTATGACAAGGCACATTTCCACCTCATGGAATAATGAACACCCATAACGATTCACTGCCTAAATGTGAATTCACAGCCACATTTGTTCTTGCGCCATTCTCCTTTAAAGAAGCTAGTCCTAATGAGCCTGCAACATGCTCTGTGATAGTCTAGAGATACTGAGAGAAACTCAATGCTTTAGTCACATCCCAACTGCAACAGTGATAATGTATTGAGTCAACTACTTTTGTGCAAGATGGACTCCTATGTATCAGATACTGCATATAGCAGTTTCTGAAACATTTCACTGTTAACAAAGTGAGTAGTTGTGGATTTTCTACCACCTGGTCATCTCATTCTCTGCATCTTAATCCATATGATTTTGGTTGTGAGACACTTTAAGTGTGGTTTATTGAGAAGATATTGCAAATTTGCCAGCCTTGAAAGACAGTATCGCACTGCATGTGAAAAGCATCATAGAGGATCAGATCAATTGAAGGGATTTTTTCCATAAATAGTACATCAAAAAAATTTTTTTTTCAATAAACTAATTTTTGTCAATATCTTTAGTGCTATTTAACAGACTTAAGTTAACCAATTACCATTCATTTTAATTTAGTATGTAAATGCTTATTGGTTAACTTTAACTCTAACTTTTGATCCTTGGTTGTCAATATGAACAGTAACAAACAGGGCCGTGTGGTAGTTTTTCTCACTATGATGCAAGTCTTTGAAACGCCGCCTCTCTGCATCATAGCACAGCACAGCCCTGTTAACAAACTATCCTCAGCAGTGGTGCATTCAGGATTTAATCTTGGGGGAGCCAAGTAACAAATAAGAAATTTTTAACACAAATTTAATAAATTTCCCATTTTATGTGACTGCTAATTCATTTGTAGTATAGAAATAGAAGACACAACATGTTATAAATAAAAAATGAATTTTAATTAGGAAAAGATTTTTGGAAAATTTTCTAGTTTCCTTTTTCTTTGGAGGATACAGGATCATTTGGATTCCCTCTGAGTGCACCACTAATCCTCAGATTACAATTCTAAATAAAAACATACGACTCACCAACCAATTAACCAATGTAAATAACATTTAAGTGACGAACATTTTTGTGAGATAAGCAGACGACCAGAGGGATGATCCCTAATGACCACTTACACTGCACAGGTTGTTAAAATCTGATCTCTGCGTCGGTGGATGGCTTACGAGGGCAAAAAGTGAGTGAGAAGGTCACAAGCACGTGGACAAGTGTCTTCATGAGAAAAGGATCGACAGGTCGACAGGTTAACAAACAGAACATTTATTGATTAACTAAAGTTAACATACAAAATTCAGTTACAAGTCTATCTGACTAAACGCTACTCGATTAAATGCGGTTAAATGCGATAAAATGCTATTCGGGGAAAGAGTTCACAAAGTTTCTAACAAATACCTCTATGTGTAAGATTGGAGGGGATGGCTGAGGTATGGCGATCGAATGTCTTCTCCGACGGTATTCCATTCCTAAACATGGAGATCAATGACACAAGTACAGAAATAACTTCTTTGGGTTGATCCGCCCTATGTTTCCGGTAGTGCGAGCTTTTATAGCGTTAGTGTGGGAAAGCCGTCCGTTTGTTGACGATGACTTGCATTTCATGACAACTAAGTGCCAACTTTCCCACCTAACTGTTGATAGTTAAAGGAGACCTCTGCTCCAATACTCCATGAGGAGTTTTTTCTATGGGGGATGTTTACAAATTTTTGATCAACAAAAAAAAAAGGGAAGTTTCCTTTCATTTACAAAATTTCCGCTAAACTCCACGGTTTCACATTTTCATTACCCCTTCTGGGCACTTCTTCAGGCCTCTTCTTAATTCAAAACAGGCTGGCCATTGACATTTGAATATAAATCGAATGGTATGGATTTCAAATACCAATTATCATTCATTTTAATTTAGTATGTAAATGCTTATTGGTTAACTTTTGATCCTTGGTTGTCAATATGAACATTAACAAACTATCCTCAGTAATGGTTCATTCAGGATTTAATCTCACTGTTATTCATACCGGTTAATTGGTTGATGAGTCATACGTTTTATATACATCCCGATGTTATGCAGCGAACTAACTGGATAAATATACTATGAATAAAACACACCTTTAATAATCCAGCTAATAAAAACTAATGAAGTAAAAACGTTTTTGATCGTTTCTTAACAATCTTCTTCAGTTACCAAAACATAGAATAAATCGAACACAAAAAAGAACATAAATACGAAATTAAAACATAAATAACAGAAAAGTAGCTGTGCTGATAAAATAAATGAAAAATATAAATTAAGTCGAAAAAATGTCCCTTAACAAAAATAAAAATAAATAAAGTCATTAATTCTATGTTTTCGAGTTGGTCTTATGGCAACTCGAAAACAAAATTCTACCCGAATTCCAACACCTTACCATTTTGTACGCCAGATACGTCGACGATATATTCATCATGTGGCAACGAAAACCTAACCTACATCAATTTTTAGATATGATCAATGATAACCCTTACGGTTTGTTACTACAAGTGGACCAGGAGAGTGATAGTATTGTAAATTTTTTGGACATTTCCATCACTTGCAAACAGGGAGAAATCAGGACCAGCATATACAGAAAATCATGCTTTCAACCCACTTTAATTCCGCATAATTCGATCGATCTGCATCACATCAAATTGGCGGCCTTTAGGTCCTGGATAAAAAGGGCTTATACACATTGTACTAGTATAAAAGACATGATGGCAGAGCTAAACTATATTCTAAGGATTGCAGAACAACAGGGATACCAAAAGGAAATCATAAGGAAACTTATTACAACATTCCAAACAACTAAACAATGGCATCCTACAGTAGACTGTAGACCATGGGTTCCCAACCTATGGGTCGCGACCCAGAAGGGGGTCACGACGGGTTTTCTGTGGGGTCACCAACTTATGCAGTAAACTAAAACAAAATTTTCACTATAATGCAATATTTATTTTTAATGATGTCTTAAAGTTTGAATAATTTCATATATTTTTAAAAAACTAAAATAAGTGTAATCTGGGTAGGCTATTCTGTCACAGTTGGTTGAAACATGTGTTGAGAGTTTTGAGAGGAATAAATTAAATGTTGAGAATGACATGAGGTTGGCGTTAACAAAATCTCACCCGCGAATTTTGAGGCTAGTTAATAATACATGCAATTTCAACCATCTCATTAAATTAATTATTNATTTAATTCTTTTGATTAATAAAATATTATTTTCATCCTACCTCCAACAAGTAATTTTGCTCCGTTAGGAATATCACTGATTGCATCTTTAGCAGAATCATAAAACTCGACATGTCTTGCATTACTAGTTGAAAAATAACTAACAGATATCTGAAATAAAAAAAGGAATTAATATTTTCATTAGATTAATAGATAATCTTAATTAAAACCATTATTTTTGTTACAGTGAATCAAATTTTGAAGTCAAAACATTAGGAACTATATTTAATATTTTTAACATTTGAGATTATAACTAGTCTAGAAACATTAAACTATTTTTGAGTTACAAGATATATTTGTAAAGTAAAGATACAAAGTTCAGAAAATCTTTCTAAAGCATTTTATTTTTATATTGACTAATGATAATTTTAAAATGCATGTTTATTTACTTTTCAATATAATCACCATGGACCTTAGCATTTGGTGAGCCAGGAAATGAGTTTCTTGATGCTGACGTTGTAGGAATCTCCCATCTGCTCTCATAATCATGTCATCACTAAAGCTTAGTTCACACTGAGTGCAATTCGCTAGCAAAAGCAAAAAACAGAGCGAATAACCGGTCAAACATGACTTGTTTGACGGGTTATTTGCTCTGTTTTTCGCTTTCGCTAGCGAATCGCACTCAGTGTGAACTAAGATTAAGTCTTGACCCTTGTTGTCATCAATAAACTTCTTTCCACAGTAATGTTCCTTCGACTTCAGAAACAAGTGATAATCGCTTGGTGCAAGATCTGGGTGGTACAATGGATGTTCCAAAACTCCCATATGAATGTCTGCAACAACTTTTATGATGCAAGCAGTGTGCAGACAGGTGTTATTGTGCAGTTGGACAATATTTTGTCATGTTTTGCCTGTTCATAACATCTTTGCCATAAACAGAAACAAGTTTCTAATGAATTTCAGCAGTAATTTCTCCTTTTGTACAAAGGAATCAAATCCCTGAACAAACCTCACACTTGGTTGGATTACAAATTGTCACAATCATTTTAAATATACACTGCAAGCATAACAATGATGCAATTAAAGTTAGGTGACTTCTGTCATGTGACACAAACCTAACAGACACATAAGTGCAATAAACTGTGAAAAAATAATTTGTTTTTGGATTTCTATTGGCCTTGCATCTTTATTTTCTGAATATGCCTTATAGTTATATAATATATATATTTCCAAGAAGATATATGACAATTTGCATAGTATACATGTGATACTTTTGAAGGAAACTGGGTACAGAATAGGCAGACAAAGCCACTTAAAACTGCATGTGATTTATTTATTGTACATGTAAGGATTTACGGATATAGTACACTCCCCGCAGGCCCCAAATAATCTAAAAATAGTACCCTCCAGCAGAGGTACATCCCTCCAACTGTACACAGCACCATACACTCCGATAACATCATCAGTGTTGCCGCTACAGTCTACATTTCATTTGAAGGAACCAAATAAATACAATAAATTGCATATTTATTTATTTTTACACTTAATTTATATAATTGGAACAGTTCATAAACATCTGCAATAACGGATCTGGCCAGTGAATACAGGGGTGAATTTCTCAATATTTCAGAGGGATTTCTCAGTAGTCACTTCCCTGTTAAGGCTAAGTGTTGTTCCATAAACAACGAATATTCAAATGTAATTTAGCAAAGACAATGCGCAAGAGTACTGTCTTTGCAAAATTTAATAATAAAATAAAAATTAAATGAAATTTTTAAATTTAATTCAAAAATTATTGTTATTGTTAGTTAATGTTAGTGTAAGATATCAGTTTAACAGAATTGTTACAAAAACTAAATAAAAAACAACTTTGTTTAAAATATCATAATTTATGGACAGTAAAAATAATACCTGAACTTGGCACCATACCCAAAAAAAAATAAGAAAAAATACAGTACTTAATTCTTGAAACCAAATTAAATTTTATTAAGTGACATTTTCCTTCCTTTATAAGATGATCATCATCTGTGAAAATTACCAAGTGCATTAGAACTAATACCTATAATACAGCTTGATCCTCAAGCCAAATGTTAAATAGCAGAAAGGAAAATTCACTGTGTACGGAATTATAAAAAACTATTAATAACGCTGTACACAGTGAATTTTCCTTCCTGCAGACTAATACCTATTTGAACAAATTAAAATGAATAGATCACACTTGATAATTCTAAGGAACACTATCATTATAAAAAATATCAAGCAAGTTAAAAGGAACACTTATTCCTTCTAATACGCAATAATTTCTTTACATTTCAGCTTTGCAATCATACTTCCCCTGGAACCCAAACACTGGTTTCCCGGAAGCTGCCCACCGAGTCTTAGTAGGCTAGAGTCTCGTTCCTTACGCAATAATTTTCACAGCTGATGATGGTGTTACGAAAGAACGAAAACGTCACTAAATAAAATTAAATGTCGTTTCCAGAATTAAGTGTTTTTTCCTTATCTTTTATGGACATTAATTATTTTTTCATCAAAGATAAAAAATAAACATTTCATCATAAAAACTAAAATTTGATAAATACAATAATTGATAAAATGTAAAGCTTAAATTTATACAAAAATAAACTATTCATTACTTCTTTCTACATTTTTGATGATAAATGTAACAAAAAAAATTCATCAAATGTTATATTGACTTTGTATTTGTTTTGTATCATCATCTTGATATTCATTTAAAGCTTACTGGTATCTATTTATATATAACTAGCTGTGCCTGTGGTTTTGCCCGCGTGGAATTCAGTTTGTGACTATAACAGTATCAGTTAGATGATATCTTATGAATGTTTTAGGAACGCATACAGGACAAAAGATATTCATTATTTTAAGCGACAACAAATATACAAATGTTCAGCACAAGTTCGGACATGTGCACTGCGTATCTTGCGGACCACATGATTGTGCTGCGCTGTTACCTATCTCATATACATACGCGTCTTGTCCCTCGCCACCCGCTGACACCAAAAATATAACACTTACCTAGATGATATCTTTTAATTTATATGAATGTTTAACAGAATAATATACAGCCTATGTCCACATTGAAGGTCCATTCTAAATATTGGTGAAAGAATTTTTGAAATCCGCTGAGTAGTTTCGAGATTACCTCCTACATCCAAACTTACAAACTTTATCTCTTTATAATATTATAGTATAAAGTATAAAAGAAAGATATTGTTATATGAATTTTTAAATTTAGTAAAATTAATATATTAATGAATATGATGCAGTGTGTAGATAGGTGTTATTGTGCAGTTGGACAATATTTTGTCATGTTTTGCCTGTTCATAACATCTTTGCCATAAACAGAAACAAGTTTCTAATGAATTTCAGCAGTAATTTCTCCTTTTGTACAAAGGAATCAAATCCCTGAACAAACCTCACACTTGGTTGGATTACAAATNTCCAAACTTACAAACTTTATCTCTTTATAATATTATAGTATAAAGTATAAAAGAAAGATATTGTTATATGAATTTTTTAATTTAGTAAAATTAATATATTAATGAATGAGCAATTATTTATTGTGACATCATCACAATGCGGGCTGCAATTTTTAATCATATTTTTAATGTATTTAATTTAAAATGTGCATTCTCCATCTCAAATTAGTAGTAGTTTACACCTTACTTTTCCTTTAACAATACAGTTGTGCCAGTCATCTATCTAACACCTTACAGGGAAAAATTTTTAATTGAAATAACATGACTTATGGTTTGCATTGGAAGTTCTTATATAGTTGAGCAGGGCCTCTGTCCCCTAAAGTTTCCATATATGGTCTCTTTTTTCATCTATCTAACTCCTTTCTCAAGATTAAGAAAAGACGGAAAGACGGACAACAGTGAAAATTTATAGATCTACAATTCTTTCAAACTGCAGCCAAAATATCATTACAGATTTTTTTCCTAAAACAATTATGGAAGTTCTTATATAGTTGAGCAAGGCCTCTGTCCCCTAAGGTTTCCATATATGGTCTCTTTTTTCATCTATCTAACTCCTTTCTCAAGATGACGGAAAGACGGAAAACAGTGAAAATTTATAGATCTACAATTCTTTCAAACTGCAGCCAAAATATCATTACAGATTTTTTTCCTAAAACAATTAAGGACTAGTAATATGTCTTGCATACAAAGAAGAAAAAATTTGTAGTATTAATATATATAATACAGTTCTATATTGTTAAATAATATTGCTGAATTATTAAGAAAATAATCCATATTGTTCTATGTTCAAAATNGATACATATCTCAACCACTTTTACAATTATGATTTGTATAATTTACTTGATCAAAAGGAGCAGGGCCAAGATAATTTTGTGTTCTCTTGGCAGACCCCACGTGTGATGCTCCTAAATCTTTATATACTTAAATCATTTCTAACCGTACTAGTACATATGCAAAGATAAAAAGTATATAAACAGCATTCTTAAGTATGTGATTGTTTTGTACTCGCTAACTAGACATTTCTAGAATATTTGCATCCACTTGGTACAGAAGTATAGAAACAATCCCATTGACGGTTAATTATTTTCGGAAGGCGCACGGGCTCCAAGACCTAGTGCCGACCTTAATTTCGGCTCGCCCCTTAATCCGGCACTGCACGGGAGGGAAAGTGCCCCGTTTGCTCCCTTCCGCAGATGTCCACGCTAACAGCTCTAATCTTTCGACACGCCTGCTCGCCCTCTGGTGGGGCGGTCAGGCTATATCTTGCAAAGGGTTGCTCGTAGAGGTACGGTTCCTTTGACTTTTTTCTTCCTACGAGTACGCTCTACGGCTCTGTTAAGGTCCCAAACATATCGTCCGGTGCTCGAACCGAGCCATAGCCCGATCCATAATAGCAAGAAAACTTTTTGTTTACTCCTTGTTTAAGTTTATTCCTTAAATAAAACTGAACAGAAACATAAACAAAGTGCATATTTTTATTATTTGTGTTCACAAAATTGAAGATTTCTACCATTTAAGAGCATTTTATGCAATTTATTATTATTATAATCGGTTAAGAAGATAGTTAAAGTAATTCTGACCTTAACTGATGAATATGAAGGTCTGTGAAAACGGATGAATTTTCTCAGTAAATGTCTACCACTAAGTGCGGCCATGCTTGAAATTGTTTATATCTTCATTGTGGCTAATATTGATAGCTGTGATCTATTGTTTGTCAATTATATCAAAGAGAAGCTAATGAAAGGAGTTTTTCTCTTGCACACATCATCATCATCCTTACTTTGGAAAATCAAAACATGGCAATACTAATGTGTGCATGTATAGATCAGTCAAGTGACACTGCTTTACAGTGAGATTTACATTACCAGAGTAAATATATGTTACAGTGTTTTCCTCTTATGGCTGAAAAACAAATGGTACATCTTTTAATTGGCTTTTTAATTTTACTGTGTTTTATAAAATTTAGATATAAATAAATAATAATATGAGTAAAAGGCATATTCATGTAATGTGAAATGATTAAATAAAGNTTGCTTTTTAATTTTACTGTGTTTTATAAAATTTAGATATAAATAAATAATAATATGAATAAAAGGCATATTCATGTAATGTGAAATGATTAAATAAAGAGATTTCTATTCAATTTTTGTTATTAAAATACTTAGTAAATAGAATAGTATTTTTGGTAATTTTTTTCATGACAATTTGGTATACTTAATTTTTCTGAACTGGTAGCTTTAGTTATTACTAAATCATTTATTTAAGCTACCAACAGATGTGATTGAATTAGCAAAAAAGCAATACGAATATATAATAAGGAATATTCTAAACATAGTAGCCAGTGGCCAAGTGGAGTTTCTGGGTTTCTTCACATGTCTAACACATAAATAAGGGCCAGTTTTCCATAGTTTTCTCTCAAGAGGAATACTCCTTGTGTTGCATTGACTTCTATCAATCCAATCCTGAATTGTATAATTAATTTGCAAGATAATAAAAAATTGTGTAATAAACCTGATGTTAAGTGAATTTAATTTTAGAAAATCCATCTAGTTATATTTTGACTGATTGCAGTCTATCGATCACTATTTTATACAAATGTGGCCCCTTTCTAATTAGGGATTATCACTAATGAGCCAAAAAGACCTTAACAGCTCTTTATATATATTAACACAAACATTTTTGACCCGCTAACAGATCATTTTCAACAGTTGAAATGGAATGCCAGTGTCAGAAGGAAAAAAAATGGGATAGACACTAACAGAGTAAACAAGCAGTGATGGTGGGAGGGACTATAACAGCAGAAGTTGATATGAATGACTAAGAAAATATTTCCAGGAAGAAGGTAGGGAATCCTTGTCCCTGATGTTTATACACGTGTTGGTAATGAAGTTGTTATAAACTCCCTTTTTCCCAGCCTAGTAATATCTCCTTAGTCTTTTGCATCAACCACTGTCATCATAGTCCACTTCTCCCTGCTTGTTTACTTGACGTCTATCCTATCTTCCTTCCAACACCAGCGTTCCACTTTCAATTGTTCATGCCTGAAGATGGCCTGTAAACAGGACAAAAATATTACATCATTAAACTTCACCGACCATTAACGGTGTATTGGTTAATTCAAAACAAAGTAATAAATGATAAAATTTAAAGCCTAACAACCACGAACATCCACACAAAATTTTTCAGGGGGCAGAGCTTGGAGATAAATAATTATATCAATAAATTTTTATTTAATTATTTAATTTTTTTGATTTTTTCACAAGTAGATTAAAGAATACAGTATTGCATCAATACAAAAAGACAAAATATTCTATGGTCAAGAGTATAAGGATACATATCTCAACCACTTTTACAATTATGATTTGTATAATTTACTTGATCAAAAGGAGCAGGGCCAAGATAATTTTGTGTTCTCTTGGCAGACCCCACGTGTGATGCTCCTAAATCTTTATATACTTAAATCATTTCTAACCGTACTAGTACATATGCAAAGATAAAAAGTATATAAACAGCATTCTTAAGTATGTGATTGTTTTGTACTCGCTAACTAGACATTTCTAGAATATTTGCATCCACTTGGTACAGAAGTATAGAAACAATCCCATTGACGGTTAATTATTTTCGGAAGGCGCACGGGCTCCAAGACCTAGTGCCGACCTTAATTTCGGCTCGCCCCTTAATCCGGCACTGCACGGGAGGGAAAGTGCCCCGTTTGCTCCCTTCCGCAGATGTCCACGCTAACAGCTCTAATCTTTCGACACGCCTGCTCGCCCTCTGGTGGGGCGGTCAGGCTATATCTTGCAAAGGGTTGCTCGTAGAGGTACGGTTCCTTTGACTTTTTTCTTCCTACGAGTACGCTCTACGGCTCTGTTAAGGTCCCAAACATATCGTCCGGTGCTCGAACCGAGCCATAGCCCGATCCATAATAGCAAGAAAACTTTTTGTTTACTCCTTGTTTAAGTTTATTCCTTAAATAAAACTGAACAGAAACATAAACAAAGTGCATATTTTTATTATTTGTGTTCACAAAATTGAAGATTTCTACCATTTAAGAGCATTTTATGCAATTTATTATTATTATAATCGGTTAAGAATATAGTTAAAGTAATTCTGACCTTAACTGATGAATATGAAGGTCTGTGAAAACGGATGAATTTTCTCAGTAAATGTCTACTACTAAGTGCGGCCATGCTTGAAATTGTTTATATCTTCATCCACGGATTTTTAATATCGTAATCGTGACGTCACAATTCGTCACGCATTTTTCGTCTGACAGACGATAAGTAATATTCCCGCTAGGGGGATCTTAACAATTATATTATCGAATGAAATAAAATTTATAACATAGAATTGTCTAATTTGATAAAAATTGATAATTTAATTTTAATATTTTAAAATTGTTGAATTAATATAAACGAATTAGGTTTGATTAAATTCTATGAAAATTTTCTATGAAATTACTTTTTTTTTTTAACTCTTTCAGCCTTGTGGGCACTAAGAGGGCCTCTTTTTGCAAGCCCATTATGGGTTGGGCCATGCCCACAATAGGGCTGCCGGGTGGTGAGGGACGGGGCCCGACATATCCGAACGGACCACCCCCCGAAAAATTCCTGGGGATTTTTCTATGAAATTACTATTATGGTATTATATGGAATTAGGCTACTTCTTTTGTAAGGCAATTGAGATGACCGGAATAAGTCCTTTGCTTCAGGTCGATCCTGTGTTAATATACCTTATAACTGACGGCCAGATTGCCAACGGTTAAGGCGTACTGGAGGACACGGGATATGTCGGGGTGTCTCTCCAGTGTATGCCTATATGAACCCATAATGCATTTCAAAATCACCATATTTTAGTGATTCCTCGTCAGTATAAAATCTATAAACAATACAATGCTTTTTTAAAAAAAATACAATAATTATTAAGGTGGCAGTCTACCGCTCGGGGAATGCGGGATCGAATCCGGACGGATCCGGTGGTCCGGATATGTCGGGCCTCACTACCTGCAATTGCATTGTGGGCCTAGCCGAACTCATAATGGGCTTTCTCAAAAGAGGCCCTGTTAGTGCTCACAGGGCGGAAAGAATTTAAAAACCCGTAACAGATCGGCCACCCGCTGTTTTAAATGCTGGGAATAGTTCAGTTTTTAATAGCTCTAAAAAATTACTGGAAGAAATAGTTTTTCTTTCTTTTTTTTCTTTTTGATGTGACTGGAATCGTTTTCGGGCCGCTCAGAGTGATAGCCTGGTAGCCCGACATCTTAACCGCTCGGCTCTGAAACTAGTTCAGATCGTGCAAAGGTTTGGTTTGATGAAAGAAGTCAAGCAACACATGAATGATGTGCCGAAAGGTGACACCCGGGAAAGACTTTCTACTTTAAGTGTTAGTCCCGTTAGGAAAAACCAAGAAAATTCCACACGGCCGATCAAAGAAGTACTGTGTATACAGTAACTCACCTCTTGGCCAAGGTTAGCACTTATAGTGACAGCTATTCATGTCCTGTCACCAACATGATAAAAACTATATTTCAGGCAGCCAGTTCATTGAAACGCAAATACCATTTCCAGACATGCTGAAGCGAATTGACAAATGCCTTGAAAGTAGCCTAATTGTTGTGAATTACCCCGATTTTTGCTTTTTTAAAAGGAAAATCCTACTTACTACACAGGACCATCCTCAAGAAGATGCGAAGCTCGTTTTATTTTAATTTTTTTTTATTTTTCTACACTGTGAGCCAGGGCCGGCCATCGGGGGGGTGCGGCGGATGCTGTGCACCGGGGCCCCGCGATTGAGGGGGCCCTAACATTGTCAAGAATGCACAAGAAAACTCGACAATATTCCTATCGTTGTCAGTATGACGAAAAGTACATTTTATCGTAAACATTATTATTGTAATCTCTGAATTTCGACAATCTTCAAACTAATTCTCGGTGATGCGAATGTTTAGTTTTTGTTATTTGATTCGGGAAACTCCCGAGAATCCCCACCTAAATTCGACTTT